TCCCCATCCAATTCTTACTCGATGACACACATTTCGTGTGTTTTATGTGAGCAGTTCTGTTCGAACAGTTGGAGTAGAGAATATTGTAAGTTACTGCTAGCAAAACAATGCGAAATATGTAATTATTTTCGGTAATCCGGACACTTTTGGTAATCTGACACACCTTTGGTCCCATACCTGTCGGATTATCAAGGGACAACTGTATTTTTAATATATTGACTTGTTCTTTCTAAGTGTTGTATATTTTCTTATTTTCATCAGTATTGTTAATATTCTTATTATTTATTCTGATTTATAAAAGAATGTGAATATAACTAGTCATAGAAAGAATAAGGAAATAAGAATAGATATTTTGTATTTAAAGAAATGTTTAATCTAATACATTTTCTTTATAAATATCAAATAAATATTTTTCTATAAACATCACTAAGCCCAATGTATTAATAATAAACCAATCAATCACTGCTATTATTAATTATTAACTATTAAATAATTTGGTACTAGAGATAAGCATAAGGCATCATCTCTTATTAAATTTAATAATTATAACATTTATTAATTAATTTAGAATATTCTGGAAGAAAAGAATCAGCCTGGAGCAGGACTCAAATCTGCAACTCCTGGAAGCAAAGAATTGGATGGAGGTCCAGATAGTATAATTGGCAACACATCCACACAGTAAACAGGACTTGCGGGTTTGAATCTTGCTCTGGGCCAATTTTTTTTCTTCCAGAATATTCTAAATTAGTAAATGTTATAATTATTAAATTTAATAAGAGATGGTGCCTAATGCTTACCTCTAGTACCAAATTACTTAACAGTTAATCATTAATAATAGCAAATTAGCCCAATTAATTAAGATGACAGTTTGCTTTATAAATATTCTTCAAATGAAAATATAAAATCAATTAGATTGCATCATTTTTGTTTTTATTACAGATAAAGATTTCCATAGGTTGGAATTGATTAATTGTTCAGTCATATTATTTTTAGTGAAATTTTTGAAATAAACAGTAAAAATCAAATTTTTATATACAAAATTATTTAATTTTTATATTAAATTTGAAAAAAATTATTGCATTTTTAAGCAATTTCCACTTATATCAATATAATGAATAAAAAGGAAGATTCAGTTCTTTCAAAAAGTCAGTTATCAATTTTTTAGTTATAATTTACCAAGTATATAAATTAATTTTTAACATTTTCTGGTAAAATTATTGTTAAATGTGTTAGATTGGATTAGATTAATAAAATTATTAACTATTATATTTAACATTTAATTACCTAATTCATTAATAATTAATTAGTGAATTGTCATCTTTCAGAAAATTTAATTTTAAGAAATTGTGGAAAAGAAATAACTTTTAGAGCAGATTTGTAACCCTCTACTGTTGTGTTACAGTAGATAAAAACATGTGCAGATTATGAATTCTCAGTCATTCAGGGCCAAGATTATAATTTTTGCATATTAAGCTGATTATTTTAACTCTTCTTTAATTGTATAAGAATTTAAACTAATATATAACAATATAGTTATTTATATAAGCTTTCAATATAATATCTACAGATGTTAGTAGATGTTGGTTTCAATTGCTTATACTAATTGCTTAATATGTTTGTTGCTTTAAAAGCATTAAGTTTTAAATTCTCTCATTTAATATGCCAGTGATGTTGATGGGTTCATATTATAAAGATATATAGTTAGTTTGTAAATTTATTTCTGTTTTAATTTATGTTTTTCATTCATTGAACACTAAAGATGAACAATAACATTGAATACAAATTAAAGAATATTTAAATTATATTCTACTGAAGATGAGATGTGAACACACCTCAAAATGGTTTGGATATAAAAAATATATATTTGTTATAAGAAGGAATTTATTATAGTATTAATATATATGTTAAATTTAAAAAAAATTAATGTCATATAAATATACATATAGTATAAAATGTATAACTATGTATACTATGTGTAATATATAAAATATAAAACTGAAATACATAAAAATAAAAGATTAACGTTATATGATATGTAACTATATGTTAGCATTTACTTTTCTAATGTAATTAGAAATTTTGTACAAAAAATATATTTCTGATTATATATTGTCTTTAAAAATTTTATTATCAAATATATANTATGTGTGTGTGTGTGTAATGAAATTATACAAATTTTCTATATTTGATATTTTTGTAATTTCCAGATATGCTAAATTATTCTATTAACATATATGATGATGGGAATCTTTTGGAAATTGTCAGTATGTCAAGTAAGTTTTTCATAAATCCTAAATGACGATTATTCAAACAATTTATATATCATCTTGTGATTTATTGTATATAAAAGTTTATTACTTTTTAATATATTCCAAAGATTATAAAGAAAATATATATATTTTTTTAATTTGTAAAATTTTGTAGTTACTTTTCCCTATTCATCTTTCAAGCTAAAGCATTATAATCAGTTATAAAAAGAATGTTTTTTTATTAATGGCTTTGTAATTTTTTAAAGCAAAATACAAAGTTTATTACATTTCAATAGTGCTATGAGTTTAATGTTTTTATTTATGGATGAAATCATTTCAGAATTTTAATAGGATAATTTCCAATAAGTTTGAATTTTAGATAATTTTTGCTGTAAAAGTTGAACTGGAAACATTTGATAAATTGTTATCGACTTTTTATACATTTAGGAAACAATAAGTGAAAAAGTTTCTTGTGTATACCAATTATACATTAATGCAAAAACTTTTTATATAAAATAATATAAAGAAAATAATTTTAGAAAATTATTTATCTTTATCAAGTTATTTATCTTAGTTTTAGAATTATTATTCATCCTTGTATTTTGTTTTATTCACTAGTGAAGTTGAAAATGCCATATATTAGACAATGTACTATACGCTCAGGCAATGTACTTATTAATTTTTAAAGACTTTTAATGGATTAAGTTAATGGTCATAGGTTAATGGATTTTAAAGAATTTCTAGAAATCAATACAGTAGAATTTAATAAAATATTCAACATAATTTTAATGGCTACAGTTTCAATAACATTTGAAATGGAAGGTTTTATTTTATCTATATATATATAAATGATGATGATTGTTTGTTTGTTCATTATACACTTCTGGGCTGTTTGACCAATTGCTATGAAACTCAGCAGTTAGGCTCAAATACTTCTAACTTTGATCATGTCATACATCCCCTCCCAAAATATCAATTGCATTTCTATAATTTAATTAATTTTTATTTACGTTCGATTTTCTGAGTTATGCATCTATTGACAAAAAAGTTAACAAAATAATTAAGTAAATATAATTCTTACAAAAAAAAGGATATAATTTTAAAAAATATATATTATATTCACTGAATTACTGCGACAATGATATAGCATGAAATAGATGCACCATTATGCCATTACTGTGACAGGTAGCACATAGCACTTGACTGTGTGCTGTAGTAGTGTGTTGCCCCTGTACATTATACTTTTTCTGTTAGCAATAGAATCGTGCCAGTTATGTATCTGACTTCATTTGGGGGAAAATTTTTGTATTGAAATAACATGACTTGTACAAATCATAAGTTCATATATAGTTAATCTGGTCCTTTTATGATTTCTATGTCTGGTCTCAGCTTTCATCTATCTAACTTTGTTCTTGAGATTAAGGAAGGTCAGAGACAGATGGACAACTGGAAATACAGTTTTTTCAATTGCAACCCAATAAGTATACTCCAGTAACTGAATGGAACACCACTAGTTGTGGTTGTGGGTTTACATATGCCCAACAGACTGGCCAAGTGGATTTTTTTTTCTTTGCATTAGTAACACTTCAATTGGGACAAACTTTACATAAACATCTTTCTGGGATGCATTCTCCTTGGCAGATCACTCACGTGTCGAACCAAATAATCCAAACTAATTCTAATGAGTGATTATTTATTGTAACATTGTCATAATGCTGGGCTCAAGTTTTCGTCATAATGTTCTCAATTTTTTTAGTGGTGATCTTACCCTGTACATCATACTTTTCCTGTTAGCAATAAAGTCGTGTCAGTCATATCTAACTCCATTCAGGGAAATGTTTTGAATCAAAGTAACATTGCTTCCATTCTAAACTGGGAGTTTGTATATAGTTAATCTGGGCCTCCTGCCCTAAGCTTTCCACATCTGGTTTTGGCTTTCATCTATCTAACTCCTTTCTTGAGATTAAGGAAGACTTGTAGGTGATGACAGTGGGAATTTATAGGACTACAATTTTTTCAAATTGCAGTCCAATAATTTTTCCATAAATGCAATATTTACAAGAACACACTTCCCTCATAGTTTATACAATCTGTTGTCAATTTTTAAAAAATTTATTATCACATAAAAGCAATTATTCTAGCATTTTTACAAGATTTTTTTTTATTTAAACCAGTCGAACAAAGTATTTCAGATGTTAAGGTTAGCAACTTTGATCACATCTGGGACCATCACAACCCATCCAACACAGATCAATTTTCAAAAAGTAGACCAGTATTAATGAGTAGTCGTTGACCATCCTCTCTTCCAGGAGGAGATCAATGACTTTTGGTCAAATTAACTTTGACTCCCTTTTGCAACAGTTCCTTCTTTCTATTGGACCAGTTGTATGGTGGCATTCAAATAGGAAAATTACATAATATAAGGTTACTGGCCAGCACAAAATATGATTTAAGTGGTTTTCGAGGATGCCAAGTTTGAATATTTGGTCCGTTTTTTTTTAAATTTGATTTGTTGGCAGATTACCATTTGATATTTGGCTGTGAATGGTACAGTTTCTTAGAGTTAACATTAGAAAATTTTATGATATCAAAATTATATGATATTATNAATTCATTCATTGAAATTTAGATTCTTTAATATTTATTGTCTTAAATTATTTCATTTAGTTATATTAATGTTTAAATTATCATTAATTCAAATTTTTTAGCATCAATGAATTAAGTTGGTATTAAGCTTTTGCATTAAGTAAATTTATAGACAGAAATTATCGTGTATATATTCAGTTGATCATTTTTCACAATTTTTGCCTATAAATTTGAAATGAAATTTAAAAATGGAAGAAGATTGTTTGTTAATTAAGGCAACCAAATGGAAAAGTTTTGGCTTATATTCAGCCATTTTCAGGTTTGATCTGAATAAAGTAGTTTTGAAGAAATGAAAATTATTTTATGCTTCACTGGCATGACTTAACTTTTGTTATTTTGAATTTGTTTCAGTTTCTATAAATGAAAAGTTAATGTATGCTTGAACTTAAAAAGTAGGTTAAAATCATTATAGTTGTCATTATTTGATTTGCTAATTTTCATCTAATTAGATGTTATATGTCAAAATAATTAATACACTATGTATAATTTAGTCCAAGCATTTTATTAATTTTGAATATTTTTTTGAAACCAACTTAATAGTATTTACAGTACAGACAAAATTTGTACAAAGGATCCTTAAAATAATTGTAAAACATTTAAAAATAACAATCTAAATAGATATTTTAAATTTTTCATTACTAGTGTTAGATAAAATTAATGATAACTTTATTGTTGGGAAAAATATTTGGCTAATTAATATTCAATTTTTGAAGCTAGAGCAAATACTTAAGGGACTAAAGGAACTATAAATCAGTAAATGTTTAATTTGGAAGTTTTTTATTTAGATTAATTTTTAAAACATCAAGTTAAATTTTCATTACATTAATAATTTTATACTACTTTCCATGATTTAAATATAGTGAAGGTAGACTTTAAAGTATTTGAAGTATTCTGTATACAGTAAACCCTCAATTTAACAGACAAAAAATTTCTGTCCTTTAATGAAAAATTCTAAACTATTTTTATTTGCAAATAGAGCATGCTACAAGGTTGGAATAATGAGTCAATGAGCATAAATTACTCACTGTACATTATATTATTATTTTATTTATACCTTTGCATCATAATAACATCTTAATGCATCTTGCATATTGTAAGTGTGTAGTGGAAATATAGAACAACACATTCAATTTAATAGATGTTTGGGAATAGCAAGCATCTCTTCTCCTAATTAGTCCATTAAATTGAAGGCTTACTATACTAGTATGTTCATATTTTTCATTAAATAAGTGATTACAGCAATTATTGAATTTTATTACACAAGTTAAAACTGTGTTGCTGTGATGATATCTTACAAGTTGTGTTACAATTACAAACTTCTAATTACAGTGAGAAGTTGGTATAATGAATGTCAGTTTAATGAAATTTTCAGTATAATGAATATACAGTCGACCCCCCCATAACACAGGTTCCTATAGTTCAGATTCCTATATCACGGCGAAAAAATTGCGACAGTATTCGTACAAACATGCTAAAAAAACTCCTATAATTCGGTAAAATGTCATCACAGACTTGTGTCGCGACAGGATTGCACAAACTGTTGAGTTTAAACGAGCAGTGGACCTACTAAAAACCATTTATTTAACATCCATAAAAATTATATTTATCTTAATGATGTCTCTAAAGTTCAGCAAATTTTTCGCAAAAAAAATAATTTATCAGGAAGCACACGAGTGCCATTCGATGACAATCTCCATGATGAAAACAAGCTTAATCAATGGTGTAGTTGAACGGTGCACACTTGGTAAGTAATCCTACAATTTTTTGTTTATAGCATAGTTTATATGGATTATTCCCAAAAAATTATATGTATTTTGGAAATGTTGAGTCAAATTAGACTAGAATCGATTAATTTTATGGAAGAAACCTTTCAAACAGCTGTAGTCCGTAAACTGCATATGTGCCGGGTGTGATTGACTGGACTTGTAAAAGCTGGATTCATAAAACTTGGAACGTATATACCGTGTTATAGGGGGGGTTGACTGTATCTTGACTCCCCTGCCAATTTCCTGTTCATCTCAATGCAAAAATGTTTCAATTTAATGAATATCATTATAACAAAAATTTCAGTTTAATACTGTATAATAAAAACTCTGTCCATTATGAAAGAATAGTTTCATTATAATGAAATCTATAAATGTATAAATCATTCATTATTAGTATATGAGTATTATTATGTCATATAGTCTGGGAACATTAATTTTAATGTATAGTTCAACTGGCAATACTAATTTTAATCCTTGGTTATAGTTTCATTTCGATGTTATTACTCTACAGTTTATTTCTTTAAGTTTATGAGAAAAAATAAAAAACTAAAGCAGTTTTCTTTGGAAGAGAATAATAAAATATTAGATAACATGCAAAAAGGAATTAACAAA